GGGGGACCGGATTCACAGCCTAGGCTCAGTAAGACAAAACCATGTTTCAGATTCTTTTTTTTCTCCGTCAGTTGTGGGCTTGAACTCTGGGCCTGGGCGCTGTCCCTCAGCTCTTCAGCTCAAGGCCACCGCTCTACCACTTTGAGCTACAGTGCCACTTCTGGTTTTCTGGTGGTTCACTGGAGATAAAGAGTCTCGTGGGCTTTCCTGCCTGGGCTGGCTTTGAACTGTGACTCTCAGATTACAGGTGTGAGCCACTGGCGCCCAGCTGGTCTCACTGGCTCCTGAAGCTGCAGCCGACACAGTTCACTCACTCGCTTTTCTGCGGCCCAGGCACATTTTTTTGTTTCAGTGCCATGAGAACAGATTATTTATGTGAAAACTAACCTGTGGCCCGTATTCTGGGTAAAGAGAAAGAATTGTGTTCCATGGCTGTGTAAAAGCCCTGAGCCAGGCCCTTTCCATTCGAGAAGCTGTAGTGAATGCAGGTCTTCACGCATTCCATGGAAAACAAGGAACGAGAGCTGCTCTGCGGGCATCATGCAGTGCGGTGGACCCCAGCAGCGCTGCCTGGATTGGAGACTTCTGAGTTCAGGTTTGGGAAAAGGATGAGTCTGCAAGTAAAGTGACTTTGAAAACTCCAGTTTAGCCACAAGCCAGTTCTCTGTCACGAGAGCACTACCCAGATGTGCATGCAAATGAAGAAGCTGCCCGTGCAACCTGAGTCCTCCAAGCAGGGACACCGGGTGCTGGTGGCGTCAGGTCTGGGACGTGGTTGAGATTCAATTCTTAGCAGTCCTTGTGTGAGTCAGTGCACCATCAGAGCTTGCAAGCTGGAGGCAAAGTCTCACTCCTCCCAGACAATCAGAAAATTTCTAGAGAGAACTACGAAGAAGCCAACAACAGTTTGTAAATAGCTGCTCAGGCAACCAAATGAACCTATTTCTCATCCACCTTCCCAGCAGAAGAGTCATAGGAGGGTACTTGTGATTTTACACAACAGTATACTCTACATTGTAAGCAATTTCTCCATCTTGCAACAAACTGCAGTGACACATGCATGCCTGTTACCGTATATACATGTGATACACATAAGTACATGCTGTCAGCTACGTACAACACTGATCCAATCAGCTTAGTTCTAATAGTGAAGACAGTTTTCGCACAATCCAGTTCAAAGAAAACTTTAAAATAACTTACTTTTTTTTTAGACTATGAAGGGTTAACCATTCTTCATAGACTGTTTCTTTAATAAAGCCATACATCCCTAATTCTTAGTGCAGAATGCATGGGACAGCATGTTTATGCTGTGTATTTTAGCCAGCTAGCCATCATGTATAACACGTGGTAGCTGTTTCTGGCAGTGAGTGTGTTATTCTGGAAGGACTTTAAGGCCACAAGTGTGAGTGGCTGTGCAGTTGGGTCATGTCATGGTGAGCAGGCTGAGTTCTAGAAGCTCCCTTCTGGGTGAATGTGCTCGGGTCAGAGGCTGGGGAGGGGGGTGGGGGAGGACCAAGGCTGATTGGTTAGATCTGAGGTAGTGAGGTCAGAACCAGATTCACAAAGAATGCTGGCCTGTAGAAGTCATTCTGGGTGTGGGTGATGGTTTTTGGGGGGAACAAAGTAAAGCCCCTTTTTCAGAAGAAAGCAGACTTTTTCCCCAAGGTTGCCGGTCTAAGGGAGGAGCAGGCCACCTGAGCTGTTCCCTTCCCAGAAAACTGTCATCACACTTTAGCACACGTGGTGTTCATTCTAGAAAAGAGTTGCATTATGAAGGCCACAAGCTTCACATTCCTGCCTTCCTCCGCTCGGTGCCGTACGAAGCCTCCCGTTCACGCGCAAACAGTCATGGCCGCTGCTTTTGTGGACGTCATCACCTGGGTCTGCTAATGAGTCCAGGGTCCAGGATGGGGGGTGCTCATCCCTGCTTTTGTTTGTGGGCTAAGAGCAGTCTCCGTGCTCCATTTGGGCCAAGACATGATTATTCTTTTCCAGCCGGAGGGATTCTATTTTCTTCTGTGCGTATTTCAGTTGGATCTTCAGGGCCTCGTTGTCGGCCTTCAGGGTATTTATTTCCTACAGGGGAGGAGAATGAAACTGGTTAATGCAGCAGCGGGAGCAGCGGCTGGGCTGGAGCAGGCGGGCTTCCTCCTGTCCACTGGCTAGAAAGCACAGCATGCCACACAGCAGTGTCATGGGTGCGAGTGTCTGCCGGCCTAGGAAGCCACTCGGAGCACAGCCGTGGCATGCTGTGTAGCCATTCTTAACCGGGCTGAGCCATGACAGCAGGGCTGGAAAATCCTATACCATGAAATGGAATACTGTTCCCCTCCCCAAGCCACTGCAAACTAATGGTTCTCTTTGGATAAAAGTAAGAATTTGGCCACACCCCCTAAACTGAGATTAGTTATCTAATTGGCCAGAATTTAATTAGAGCCCTCAGCTGATTTCTAGGCTTCTGATGGTGAGGCCGGTGTTGTTGCGTTATAGCACACTGGGCAGCGTCTGGTAACTGGGGTCCACGAGCATCTCAGTGGATTCTCCACGGCTAGCTGTGGGCTTCACAGGTGGCACACAGCCCTCACTCCCTGGAGTAGGTGGCAGGTCTACATTTTGTAGGAGGAGAAAACACTGCCATCTAGTTTCAGACCAGAGGGCGGAGTCTTCATTTGACTTGTCCCGTGCGTGCTGAGTCAGAGGGATATAGACGCTAAAATAACCTGCAATCTTCAGTAAGACAACACTTCCATTTTGCATGCTGTTTTAAACACTGGCTTCATCTGGCTAGCTGGTTGTGGATAGGACTGTTGAATTATGGACAAGGCATAGGATTTCACCTAATAGGAGGACAGAACATTGCTCCTTTGATGTGGATCTAGCAAAAGGAGCAGGGCGGCAGTGAGAGGGTGGCTGGGGAGGTGGGGGGGGTTCTGCACTGACTACAGCAGCTCCCAGCACGGGCCTGTGCAGTGCCGAGGTTTGGAGCCAGAGTGTGGAATCGTAGCCCTCTGTTTTACAGAGTACCACATAGTATTTAGCCCAGTTTATTATTGGTCTATGAGGACTTCATTGAACACCGTATTATGTCCACATACATAGGTACAGTTACGTTTACGAATGGGCTTCCGTTACTTATACTCAGCAACACGGCCTCTTTTCTGCCTTTCTCCCCCCTTTAACCCGCTAGTGGTCACTCTGGTTTGGATCTGCCCGGCCTCGCGGGAGGGAGGGGAGGTACCTGCTCCAGCTCTTGGTATGTCGGGAGCGGGAGGCGGCGGAGCTCCTCTTTTGACTTGAGGAAGGACTCCTTATTCTCCCACTTGACGAAGGCCCGCTTTCTGACCAGGACCGGGCTGGGGCAGGGGGACGGGGGGCTGGGGGGCACGTAGAGGGTGTCCTGGGCCACCTTCCGCGGGGAGGAGAGCACCAGCTGCCCAGGAGAGCAGGGCAGGGCTTCCGTCTGGATGGCCTTGTGAGCCACGGCCCGCTTCAGGCGGACAGAGATCTTCTGGGAGGACACGCCCATCAGCATGATGGTCCGGTCCTTGCTGTCCTCCCCAGGCTCCCCACCGTGGACCGCCAGCGCGCCTTCCTCGGGACCTGTGGAGACACGCAGGCGTGAGCCCACCCAGCACCCCGCGTGGCCGGGGACCCGGGGCCAAGCCGCAGCCCAGGCCACCCGGAGGACGGGGCATCTCGTGCTGTTGGCACAGAGGAGGCCAAGGGGCCCCCTGCCTGCCTCCCGCTGCAGGGGTTCACCGGGCAAAAAGAGCAGGAGTGGAGAGCGTGTACAGGAACGCTCTGGCAGTACTTCCCGTGGCCTCGGGAGTGCCCACAAGGGCAGCAGGAACTCTGGGCCCCACCCCCTGTGAGGTGGAGGTGGATGGAGATGTGGAGGTGGATGGAGATGTGGAGGTGGATGGAGATGTGGAGGTGGAGGTGGATGGAGATGGGACAGACCAGCCCAGAACTGTGAAGCAGAGGAGCCATGTCTTGGCCAAGAGTAGGCATGGCTGCCAAGGGAACTGGAGATCACCCAGGACTGAATCTCAGCTCCACAATTACCAGGTCCCACGCAGCTACCGCAAATAGATTAGGGTTCTCTTTCATTAAAACAGTGATGAAAAATACTTTCCAGAGCTCTGGAATTAAATCATTATATAGGAGAAAGGGCCTATTAAAAAGCATACATGTGTGCCGGGCACCGGTGGCTCACGCCTATAATCCTAGCTACTCAGGAGGCTGAGATCTGAGGATCATGGTTCAAAGCCAGCCCAGGAAGGAAAAGTCTGTGAGACTCTAATCTCCAGTTAACCACCAGAAAACCAGAAGTGGCGCTGTGGCTCAAGTGGTAGGACACTAGCCCTGAGCTGAAGAGCTGAGGGATAGAGCCCTGGCCCAGAGTTCAAGCCCCACAACCGACCACACACACACACACACACACACACACACACACACACACACACACACACACACACACCAAAATAAACCATATAAATAAGTAAAAAGTATACATGTGTTTGCATTAAGATGTATTTTTTTCTGTGATGAAATTTTTTAGGTAAGATGTTGAGTAATCAAGACAAGGGGAAAAAGTTCTTGATTATAACTTAAATTTTAAAATTTGTATTCTGACATGCATTAAGATCCTAGAATTGTTCCCAAGAGCTACATCTAACTATTATTTAATATTGACTTAAATAAAGCTTAAATTTGCAGTGACACCATGAAGTACTAGAGCCCCCTCCTGTAAGAATGTAATCTGTCACAGGCTAAATGACAGTCTTGACAAGGGCCAGGCAATTTTCTTCATCCATGTATAACTAGCACTACTTTTCCATGAGACTCTTTTTTTTTGGGGGGGGGGGGTCCAGCCGTGGGGCCTGAACTCTGGGCCTGGGCGCTGTCCCTCAGCTCTTCAGCTCAAGGCTAGCGCTCTACCACTTGAATCACAGCGCCACTTCCGGCTCTTTTCTTTTTGTTTATATGGTGCTGAGGAATCGAACCCAGGGCCTCAGGCATGCAAGGTAAGCACTGTACCACTGAGCGACCTTCCCAGCTAACTAGCATTACTTTTCCATGTTTACGGGCTCAGTGTGCTCTTCCCATGCGTGCATCAATCTGCATTGACCATGTCCTGCCCTGCCCCTCCCTCTACTCTCACCCCTAGTAATCAACCACTAAGACCGGATGGTCATCTTTCTGTGTATGGTGTATCTCACTAAATGCAGTTTCTTCCAGTTCATTTGCTACAAACAACAGGATTCTGTTTTCTATATGGATGAATGATACTCTGTGGACTGTAATAAACCACACTGTGTACTACATTATACTGTGCACGGGTGTGTGTATAGTGAAAGGATCCGTCCGTCTGTGGATTGGCTGGCTCCATGTTAGCTGTTGCGAAGAGGGCCAAGATAAACGGGCGACGGCGTCTCTGCCTTGCTGGCTTCCTTCGGAGATACCCCTGCAGTGGGATAGCCTGCTTTGTGAGAGACCACGCTACCTCCCCCGCTCATTTCCCACGTGTCTTGTCTTACAAATCTTGTTTTGGAAGTGCCTGGCTCCAGCTTTCTTCTCTTGAGGCTGCTTTGGCTACTTGGGGTCTTCTGTGCTCAGTATGAATTTTAGAATTGCCATTTCTGCTGACATTTGATGGGATTGTAGTGACTGACCAGTTGCTCCTGGTGGAGTGAACACAGCAACGATGTCCTTCCAGGCCATGAGTGGGGAGGTCTTATGTTCTAGTACCTTCTGTTTGTCCCCCGGCTTTTGAGTGGGGAGGTCTTGAGTTGTCATTTCCGCTCCTAAGCTCAGAAGTGTTACTGGTGCACAGGGCGCCCCGCGCACACTGTAGAGGGTCCGTCGGACAGAGCCACCCCCTCTAGTGCGATGCCACTCGACTGCGTGCCGTGTGGCCGCCCTCCCGTGGGAGGGTGCCGGTCCCCTGGGTGCTGTGTCGGCCAGGCTCCCTGGTGCAGGCGGGCTGTGACACCGCGGAAAACCGAAGCAGGTGTCCTTAGTGCAGACAGTGGGGACCTGTGGGTGCTTCCTGTGGACAAGCGGTGGCCTCTGGCGGCCATGCCCCGGACCCCGTGGACGCAAGCACACGGGTGTAGCGGCAGGGGGGCTGCGGCGGCCTCTGCCGCTGCAGTGGGCGTGCCCACGCAGGGAGGAGCCCCAGGGCGCCATGGACCCTGGGCCTGGAGACAGGGCTGCCGCCGGGCTTCTCTCTCCTTGGACTGGGCTGTGTGGACTGCGTGAAGCTCACTGTAGGGTGTGTCGTGTGCACAGCAGCAGCTGCCGGCCCAGACTCTGCGCCTCCTTCCACTGCAGAGCCCGTGGGAGCCGGCACTGGGCCAGCAGCCGGGTCCCTGGTCCTGACCCCAGTGGCAAGGGTAGGGCCGTCACCCCCTGCAGGGCAGAGCCAGCCTCGGCCCAGGCAGCCACCTGCTGAGCCAGGGCCATGGGCTCCCGGGTAAAGCACCCTGGGGAGAGTGGCTACAGCCAGTCACCGCTGCCTGGTGTTGGTTTCAGCAGCACTGGGGGCTAACGGGGCTGCGCCTGCTAGGTAAGCGCTCCTGCTCTTGGGATGTGCCCCCCTGCTCTTGATACATTCGTTATCTCCCAGATGAGGTCTGCTTGTGTGGGACTGCACACCTCCAGGTCTCCGCCTCCCAGGTGGCCGGCATGCCAGGCGGGCAGAGGTGGCTGCTTCCGTTCTGTGATCTTGAAGCCTCCTGTTTTCCTTAGCAGTTATGCTCAAATCACAACTTAGAACACAAGCACTGGTTGAGGTCAAATTCCTATGTGTTGGGGAAGCAAAAGGAAGAAGAGCAACAGGAAAGGAGCCCTAAGCTCCAGGAAGAGTCCCAGAGCAGCGCACGGTGCTGCGAGCCAGGGCGGAGGCAGCCTGGGAGCGCAGGGCCTCGCCGGGGAGTCTGCCGCAGCCCGCAGATTCACTGCTCCCAGCCGGTTTTCCTGGGAAGATGTGTGATCGCCTAATGTGATGCGTAACCTTAAAATGGGGGTGTAGTGTGCACACTGTCTTCCAGTGGCATTCGCTAATTTATATTAAAACACGGAACGTCCGCTCGTCAGTTCATTCGTGTATTCTTTCTTGGGGGAAAATCTGCTCTTCAGCACCACAAGGTCTGAGAGACAGACCTGCACTGGAATCCAGCTGTGAGCGGCGCCAGCCCTGGCCTGGCCGTGAGGTCAGGGTAAGGCGGAGCAGCCGCGCCCCAAACGCAGCCCTCCCCGCCCGCTCTGAGGTGAGCGCCCCATGCCCGCTCACCAGAGCGCCCCACGCCCGCTCACCGTACAGCAGGTGTTTGGCTCCCAGCGGGTAAAGGCCGGACACGGGCCCTGCCCAGGCGCTGCCCTCCGTGGGAGCTGCCGGGCTCTTGGCTCGCTTCTTGCACTCGAACACCACCAGGTCCTTGCACTGCTTGTGGCAGTTCATCCCGCAGTCTATAGACGAGACACATTCTGGATCATTCTGGTGTCACCAGATCTCTGCACGCAGTGCTCCCCGGTCTGTCTGTCTGCCCTGTCTTTTTTAATTTTTGCTTGGGGCTGGAACTGTTGGCCTGAGCACTGTCTCTGAGCTCTTTTTGTTCAAGGCTAGGGCTTAACCACTTGGAGCCACCACTCTGCTTCTGGGTTTCTGGTGGTCAGTCGGAGGTAAGAGCCTCACGGTCATCCTGTCCGCACCGGCTTCAAACTGTGATCCTCAGATCTCAGCCTCCTGAGTAGCTAGGCTAACAGGCTCTTGGAGGAAAGAGATGGCTTCCTGTCCTGTTCATTCTGGAAAACCCTCTAGAGGCTCCCAACTTCTGGGCCTGACTCTCTTCCTCCTGGTAAAAGGTTCTCACCCACACGCCTGACCTGTTCTCGCCACAAGGAAGGGCTCCCAGGTCCTGAGTCCCCACAGACACAGGAGGCTCTCTCTCCCACTGGGGCCTGTCTTGCCTGACTGCCTCCTGCCTGCCAGCCCCCTCTGCGGGGCAGCGGGGGGCCCCCCACCCCGGGGCCGAGTCTTACCTTTACATCGGTACCCCTGCTTGATCACTCCCCAGAGCTGTGGAAGAGGAAACAGCACCACACAACACCGTCACTCAGCTGGGGGAGGCCTCCAGCCCACAGCCTTCCTGACCCTCAGGCTGCTCTCTCCCTGCTGCCCCGCTGCCTTACACTGAGAATAGGGGCATTTGTGTTGACCACTCGGGTCCTGCAGTGGCTGTGGTGGCCATGGCCCGAGAAGAATGAGTCCGCCAGCTCCCCTCCCACCGCCCCCACCTCCCCCATGCGCGCGCGCGCGCGCGCGCACACACACACACACACACACACACACACACACACACACACAGAAAACCCAGGGAAAGGGGGCTGTTGTGTTTCTTTTTTGCCTAATACTTGAAGCATGCTTAAAAAGCGTACTCCAAATCCAGCCTCCTGTGCCTTCCACCAAGGCCTTCCTGTACCAGGGAGGACAAGACGGGGATTAGACAGGGAGGGTCACCCTGGGGCTGGCGCGGGGGCTGGCGGGGCTGGCCTGGGGCTGGTGGCGTTGGCCTGGGGCTGGCCTGGGGCTGGCGGGGTTGGCCTGGGGCTGGCAGCGTTGGCCTGGGGCTGGCGGGGCTGGCCTGGGCGCTAAGCTGGGTGGAGCAGGGGTGGTGAGGTCCGAGCCTCGCGCTCTCACGTCAGCGCCCCCCCCACGCCAGCGCCCCCCCCCACGCCAGCGCCCCCCTCTCCCCTCCCCCCCACGCCTCCGGAACCACGTACAAATCCCGCACAGTTGTCACAGAAGGTGGGCTTCAGGTAGGTGGTCTCCTGGAAGTTGTGAGGGAAGCCCAGGCCCAGCTTGGAGTAGATGGAGCTGGCCCTCATGAAGTAGGCTGTGATCTCCGCGCGGCTGATGAGGCCTTCCCTGGGGGGGAGCCGGGGTGAGCGCGGGCCGAGGAGGGCAGCGATCACCTCCTGCCTGCTTTGCCTGCTGGGCTCCCTGGCTAATCCGACCACCACGAGCCACGGCCCCGCCTTCACCCCACACACCCCACACACCCCAGCCCACGGCCCCGCCTTCACCCCACACACCCCACACACCCACACAGCCCACGGCCCCGCCTTCACCCCACACCCCACACACCCACACAGCCCAGCCCATGGCCCCGCTTTCACCCCACACACCCCACACACCCCAGCCCACGGCCCTGCCTTCACCCCACACACCCCACACACCCACACACCCCAGCCCACGGCCCCGCCCTCATCCCTCCTCGCCCCTGCCCACCATCCCCGTCCTCGCCTCTCCTCGCCCCTCCTCACCGGTCGCCGTCCATCACGCAGAAGGAGAAGGGGAAGCTCGCAGCTATCTTCTCAAACTCCTCCTGGGAGATGTAGCCGTCCTGGTCGTGGTCGTAGTTCTTGAAGACAGACTGCAGAGGAGAGGCCCCAGTGAGCACAGTCGGGAGCACGGAGAGGATGAAGGGGGCGGAGGGGGGGGCGGGGGGGCGGGGGGGGAGGGGGGCGGAGGGGGGGGGCGGGGGGGTGTGGAGGGGGGGCGGGGGGGGAGGGGGGCAGAGGGGGGTGGAGGGGGTGGGGGGCCGGAGAGGCTGCCCGGGGGCAGGGGCACAGGCTCGCACGGGCCCTGGTGCTGCCCGCCTGCCCCGCAGCCCACCCGCACCCTTCTCGCTGCCCGCTGCAGCTCCTCCGGGGCTCACAGCAGCCTCTGGAAGTGCTCCGCTCCCCGGCCGGCCCAGGGCGGAGAAGGTGGGGCGCGGCGTGGGGCTCACTCCTCTGCAGCCCGCCTCCCTGCGGCAGGCCTGTGTGACCGGGGTGTCCTCGGGGTGTCTGAGGAGGGGCCCCCCCACCCCCCGCTGAGCCAGGCTCATGCGCCCTGGAGCGGCACTCACGTCCACCATCCTCTGCACGTGCTTGCTGATGGTCTTGGGGTCGGGCTTGGGGGAGACACCGGAGGCCCAGTCCACCACTACCGGTGGCTTCGAAGGCGTCAGAGGCTACAGGCAACAGAGCAGTCCCGTGACCAGGACGCACTTGCTCTCCCACACACCCACCCCCGGCCACGGGCTTTCAGCTCTTCCACTCAGCCACGGCAGAACCCACGGCCACCCACCTCTACTGACCTCCAGCTACAATGAGCCATAGGAGGAAGTACAGGGAAACACTCCAAGACACTGGACAGACAAAGACTTCCCAGATGGGAGCCCTGTGTTAGCCCAGGAAGCAAAAGCAGAAACTGACCAATGGAATTACATCAAACAAGAGACTAAGCCGGTGAGCCACTGGCTCACGCCTGTAATCCCAGCTACTCAGGAGGCTGAGATCTGAGGATCAAAGTTCAAAGCCAGCCCGAGCAGGAAAGCCCATGAAACTCTTATCTTCAATAAACCACCAGAAAACCAGAAGTGGAGCTGTGGATCAAGTGGTAGAGCACTTGCCTTGAGCTGAAGAGCTGAGGGCCAGCGCCCAGGCCCAGAGTTCAAGCCCCATGACAGACAAAAAAACAAAAACCAAAAAACAACAACAAACCAAGACTACTACTCTGAACTGGGAGAAAATTCTGTGAGCTGTTCATGTGATGATTACTGTCCAGAATAAAGACCAGGTTTGACGGAACTCAGGAGGTAAGGAAGACTGAAACTGGAGACTATTCTGGGCAAAGGTTGTCAAGAAAGACCCCGTTCTTAACAATCTGGTGTAAACGCCTATAATCCTAGCTACCTGTAGGTAGGATGAAGGTTCAAGGCGAAGCCTATACAAAAGAGTGACACCCTGTCTTAAAAATAACAGAGACTGGGTATGTGCTTTACGTGGTACACTGCCTTTCTAGCAAGCTCAGGTCCCTGAGTTCACACCAAAGCACAGCCAAATAAACTGAGTAATGAAGTGGATAAATGAGCTAAGCAGATTTATCTCCAAAGGTTATAAACAACTAGGAAGGATATAAGAATATGCTCAATTATTAGCCACCGGGAAAATGCAGATCAGAATACAACTATTAACCAGAATTAAAAACTCAAGACTGCGCCTGGTGGCTCTCACCTGTAATCCCATGTACTGGGAAGCAGAGATCAGCACTGAGGTTCAAGGCTAGCCTAGACAAAGAGCAAGACCCATCTCAACAAATGAACCAGCCATGGTGGTTCACACGTGCAATTCCGGCTTACGGGAGGTGGAGGTAGAGGGAGGGTCCAAAACTAGCCTGGGCAAAAAGGTGACACATCCTACCGAGAAGTGATAAAATGTAAAAGGGATGGGGCTGGGACTCCAGCCGTAGAATGAAACAGATCATCTCTATTTCCCTTTTGCTCTCTAGTCCCTCTCTGCTACAGAGGTGGGTGATAATGAGTTCAAATAAAACCTAAGACAGAAAAATCCCAAGCCTGTGTGGGCTGAGATGAAATCCATTTCCAAATCCTTGAAACTTAAACTAAAATCCAAAAGCAGGCGAAGTTAACCTTTCCATCGAAATGCCACTAACACCTTGGAAACGAAAGCTGCCAGTGATCCGCAGCAACGGTGTTCACGGTGACGCCCAGGTTCCGTGGAAGCGGGTTCCCCCGACCCCCTGCAGACAGGGCCCTGAGCCTCCTCGTTCGTCTTCGTGCTCTCGCGTGGGACTGGACCCCGTGGAAATAAAACGCGCCACGTTAAGGTGAACAAAGGAGCTGAGAGGAACCTACCGGCGCTCTGTGGTTCTTGGGTTCGCGGGCATAGGAGAGCTCATAGATCTCGTCTTCTGTGTAGTAGAGGTCCAGGGACAGCTGCAGAGAGGGACAGAGCAGGCTCCCTTATCCCCCAGGTGCCTGGGAGTGTAGTCTTAAAAAATCACCAAGTTGCGGGGCTGGGAATGTGGCTAGCATGCACAAATCCCTGGGTTCGATTCCTTGGCACCACACAAACAAAAAGCCGGAAGTAGCACTATGGCTCATGCCTGTAATCCTAACTACTCAGGAGGCTGAGATTGGGGGAGCATGGTTCCAAGCCAGCCCAGGAAGGAATGGCCGTGAGACTCTTATCTCCAATAAACTACTCAGAAAAAGCGCGGAGTACGGTTGTGGCTCAAGTGGAACTCAGGTCCCCACTGAAGTTACTGGTGAACTGTGGAGCCGCAGGTCTGGGAAGAAGCTCCCGGTCACTCACACCCAAAGTGCAAACCTCGCACTCCACACGCCATGAACACTCCAGGAGAGGGAGCTCAGCCAGGGGCGGCAGCATCCAAAGAATGCTCAGTGCTTTTCCTCAGTACTCTGCTGTCCCCCAGCCCCCCGTTCTTGGTTATCCTGGGGCTTGAACTCAGGGCCTGGGTGCTGTCCCTGACCGGTTCTGTCCCTTCTGTGGAGGGGCTGTGTCAGCATGTGAGCCGGCCTGGGGTGTGAACGCAGGAGGGCTACTGCGCCAGACGCGGGAAGCCCGCAGAGTCCCCGCTGCGTGAGTCCAGGCTGTGCTCCCCCTGCTGCGGCCCCTCCGGCCGGCACAGGGGGACGGGGAGGGGGGAGGGGAGGGGGCTCACCGTGAGCAGGTGCACCAGATCCTTGTTGGCCTCGAGCGGCGGGGCAGCCTCCTGCAGCTGCACCAGCTCGTTGATGTGGCTGTACAGGGCCAGCAGCTTGGGCACGTTCACCTTGCCGTCCTCCAGGTAGTCGGGCATGGCTTCGTGCAGGGAGACGAGGTCCTTCAGGTGCACCCCCAGGATGGGGATCTTGAAGTGGGAGCACTCGCCGTAGGCGCGCCGGTAGTTGTCGTAGTTTCTGCAGGAGGACAGCAGCTCCGTCATCTCGCCCAGGACCTGCGGGGCAGAGGCACAGGGCGGTGGCCGGCGCCTCCCCAGCCCGGGGCTCCCGGCTCCCCCCGGGGTGCTGTGGGCAGGAGGTGGCAGCGGGGAAGGCTCCTGGGGGCCGAGAGGCGCCGTGACACTGACCTTATTGATTTCGTGGGGGACGTGCGAGCTGGTCTCCTTGAGCCTGGAGATGGAACTGTGGCAGAGCCCGCCGATCACGGCCATGAGCGTGTTGAAGTTCTGCAGCTGGTGGAGCTTCTGGGATGGGAGAAAGCGGCGTCACCGCCCTGCTCTGGGGCCCAGGCGCCTTGGAGACTGCGCTCCGCTGCTCCCCGGGCTGAGTCCCAGGCCCGGGACCGCCCAGAATTGCCGGTGCACCGTGGCCGGGTGTGGACCCCCATCTCCAGCAGCGGCTCCCGAGACGGCCCCGGTGTTGAACACAGACGGCTCTGGAGGTGAGGTCTCCACCTGGGGCAGCCTCCCAGGCCTGTCCCCCCGTGGACAGCGGAGCACACGGCCCACGCGCCAGACTTGGGGGACACTTGTTTGTGCCATCCAGAACTGGAAAATCGCGTCCCCGAGCGCTACCTCTCACTTCCTCTGTCCCACGTTTCCTGGGTGTCTTTATTCTGGAGATGGGGACTCCGCCTTGCTCCCCGGTGCAAAGCGGCCACAGGCTTGGCCCATCACCCGGCCGGGCGGCCCCGGGCCTCCCTCCCTCAGCCGCACTGGCAGGGAATCGCCCCCCTCAGGTGTGTGGAGGGTGGGAGCAATCTAAGCAGGCCTAAGCGGGATCTGCACCCAACATGGCCCCCGTGTGTCCTCCTGCCTCATCCCGGTGGAAGGGACGTGGGGGGGCAGGTCCTCCACCCCGCGGCCCTACAGGTGGGTGGGCGTCTCCACACCGCCACTCACCTGAGCCACCTGGATGAACTTGACGAAGACCTGGGCACGGAGCTGCGGGGTGGGGCGGCTGAGCACCATGAGCTGCACCCACTGGGAGACGCCATTGCACAGGGCGACGGAGCGCTCCATGGTGGGGTTCTCCTTCACACAGCTATTTACAAGGTAATTTTGATAATCAGAGAACTGGGAGGGGGGAAAGAGACAACTGTGAGGACCGAGCCAACGTTGGAGAAGACAGTTCCCCTAAAAGAAGTTCTTCTCCGCCCCAGTTGTTAGCTTCAACATGAACTCCGTCCCACCCAGGGCATGGAGTTGTGAGCAGCCAACACTGCGCAGACGCACGTGACCGCGTTCACACGCACGCACGCGCACCGTGCTGAGGGGATTGGGACCTCGTGCGGATGGGCGAGGATCTGGTGTCCTCTCCTGGCCAGCCAGGGACGCCAGGGACAGGAGGGCAGGAACCCGGGCTAGCTGCGCGTGGGGACAGGCCTCCTAGCTGGACAGGGGCAGTGACTATGCTGACCACGAAGCCACGGGGGAAAGGCCAGGGATGGTCTAGAACGTCTGGTGTAAGTGATGGCCACAGCGAATTTATTACTGGAAACACAAAGCTCATTAGTCCTGAGAGTAAAAAGTTACCAGGACTCACTCCAAGGATTATCAGGAGGAGACTAATGTTGAAATCACTGGTGATATCAGATGCTGGTGGATCACGCCTGTAACCCTAGTTAAGAGGCTAGGATCTGAGGATCGCGGCTCAAAGCCAGCCCCGGCCAGGAAAGTCTGTGACTCTTCTCGCAAATAAACTACCAAAAAATAAAACAATAAAGGCAAGTAAAGCTGTGGCTCCAGTGGGAGAGCACTAGCATGGAGCACAGAGCTCAGGGACAGACCAGACCGAGTTCAAGCCTGAGCAAAATTAAACAACAACTACAAAATCGTCCTTATCTCCCCTTCTCCCCTGACTTGCAGCAGCAAACATCCAGTGCCTTTCAGTGCCCAGCAGAGAGAGACTTCCCTGATCCCTCATGGTGGGAGAAAATTGCCTTTGGGAAAACTACTTCAAACCACGTAAGAAAAGCAAACAAATGGAACCCCTGGACCCGTTCTGCAAAAGGGACCTGGACACAGATGCCCGCGTCCAGCGTCCTTCCCACGGGCAAACCGGGCACTCCGGCTCCCGCAGGGCTGCCCACAAGCTGTCCCTCGCTTCCCACCCTCTCCCCCTTGCCGCTGGGGAGCTCGAGCCCTGCCTGGGCTCTGGGCCCACGCGCGCCCCTGGCTGCCGGGCAGGGCTCCCCAGGAGCCTCCCCATGGCAGGCTTCTGTGGAGGAAGGCCTTGCTGCAGCCTGGGGGTGGGGTGAGCGGGTGTCTGCTTCCAGAGTGGGTAGGATGCAGGGGGGGGGGGGGGTCCCCTAGCTGGATGATGGCCAACGGTGGTATGAAAATGGGAGCCTGCGCCCAGTGCGGCCGGCCTGCAGGTGTCCATGACACGGGGGGGGGGGGGGGGGGGGGGGGCGGGGGAGGGCTGAGGTCCTCGCAGGGGTCAGCACCTCCACCCCTCCACCCCTGCACCTGGGCTCTTGGGGCGGGGGTAGGGAGGCAGGGTGCATCGCGAGGACTGCGGGCAGCTGGTGTGTTCGCCTCTCCCCTACGGGACCAGCACGGCCTTGCAGAGCCCAGCGAGGGCAGGCCGCCTGGGCGGGCGCTCTCCCGCACCCTGGAGCTAAACCCCTTCGGCTCTGCGGGGCGGCCCAGGACGCCAGCGGCGGGGTTTACCTCTAGGACAGGGGCTGTCAGGCCGCAGCAGCCCCCCTTCAGGGCTCTGGCAGGCCGAGCGGCCTCTACTTTATGTAGTGATGTCCCAGAGTGGTTCCAGGCTCCCCCAAGAATGGGTCCAAACTCCCAGGACACACAGCCCAGCTTCTTCTTTGGTTGGAAAAGATTACCAAGAACTTTCTGGAAATCTAACGATGACGAGTGCATGTGTGTGGGGGCACACGGGCCCCGTACCCTAACCTGAAGCCTTCTGTGCGTGAGGGGTGGGAGGGGCTGGCCTGGAGACCCAGGAGGGGCAACCAAAGGCGCCCACTCTCCGGGCGGCCCAGCACCGCGAGGCTCGGGCGCCCAGGCTGCCCGACGCCCGCGTTCGCCCGTCTCCCAGCGGGCGCACCGCCCGCCGTGGCTACGTACGGAGATCCTCCGGAAGGACTTGAACTCCAGGTAGGTGAGGTGCTCGGACAGCTCCTCCGGCTCCAGGTGGTCGAAGAGCAGGGACACCTTGCGCTTCTTGCTGGCGTTGGACTTGATCCTCTGAGTGAGCTTCCTCGACCAGTCCCGCGCGTTGCTGTGCGGGCAGAGGAGCGCGGGAGAAACGACAGCGGGAAGTCACACCCTCCGCACACCCACCACGCGCACAGGACGCACAGAGCCGCACCGGCCGGGTCACCTCCCCGCGTCCCCGGGAAGCCCGGCTGACCTCCGGTGCCCCCCCGCCCCCCCATGTCTCCACACAGTCAGCCCACATGGCTTCCCAATGCTGGACAGCGTGGGGCAGCACGGCGTGTGTGGCCACTCAGTAGAGGGGTTCTAGGATCCACAGGGACTGGGAAGCTGTCACCCTCGCCAGCCTCCCTGGTCACCGAGTGTATGACAGACTTCGGGAGGTCCTGTGGAAGGCACCCCGCTCTCACTGCTCCCCACACCTCTAGCCAGCTGGCGAGGACACCGTCCTGAGACGGGGCGGCCGGCGGCCAGGGAGGCAGGCCGGGCGCGTGCCCCCGGCCCTCCGCTCGCTGCTGCGGCCGCCCGGCCCACCGCCGGCTCCAGAGGGACTTTGACATCCCGCTCTGGACTGGCTCGACCAGCCGGGCAAAGCCGGGCCAGGCCGGGCAGGACGCCGCGGGGCGGGTCTCCAGATCCCCGGTGGAGCTCAGACCCAGGTCTCAGCTCTGGAATTCCCTACGGGCAGGAGCTGAGTTCCTGCAAAATGAGCAACTACGCGGTGGAGACGGGGGCTCCCCGCCCCCTCACCCTGGGAGAGGCCGACACTGCTGCGCCCTTCCCCGCGCCCGCGTCTCAGGCTCCACCTGGTACAGTTTTAGCACGCCTCCCCCATGCCAGCGCTGGCTTCTCGCCGCGGTGGACACGGGGTCCCCACTTTCTTCCTGACCTGCCCCAGCCTTCTCGCCGCCGTGGCCAGCGGTCGGGGCCTGCTCAGCGGGTAACAGGCCGGCAGTGCCGCTGCCAGGGGCCGGGCCGGGCAGGGCCAGCGCGGGCCGCGGGCAGTGCGGGCAGCGGGCAGCGAGCCGCGCGGCTGGGTGCGGACAGGCGGAGGCCTGGCACTCACATCTGAGTGGTGTCGATGAGCCGGCAGTGCGACTCCTCGCCGGCGGCTTTCACCAGCTCCTGAAACTTCTCCATCGTGTCCGTCAGGCTGGCGTCCATTTTAAACATGATCCAGAACTCGGTGGTCCAGTACCTACAAGGAAGGGGGGTGAAGAGCAACAATCTGAACCTGACCCACGGGGGGGGGGGGGGGACGGGGGACACTGAAGCTGCAAAGAGGATGCCCAGAAAACCAGAGGCCCGCCTGCCCACTGGTGGGGGGGGGGGGGGTAGAACAAGGTACAGGGAAATGAACAGGGAGGAGATTCAGGCGCCATCTTGTATCTGCATTAACCACGAAGGACAAACCACAGCCCCTGTGGGGACCACGCACCTCACCCATCGCGGGGAGCAGAACACACACGTGAAAAGTAGTATTTATAGGAGTATAGACGACTACAGATTTAGGAGAAAATGACAGGCTATGGAAACTTATGTGTATTTTGATCTCAACTACATTTTAAAAAATCGGTGTAGGGCTGGGAAGGTGGCTCAGTGGTAGAGCTCTTGCCTTGCATGCCTGAGGCCGTGGGTTCGATTCCTCAGCACCACATAACCAAAAAGAAAAAAAGCTGGAAGTGGCGCTGTGGCTCAAGTGGTAGAGCGCTAGCCTTGAGCTGAAGAGCTGAGGTACAGCGCCCAGGCCCAGAGTTCAGGCCTCACGACTGGACCTCCCCCCCAAAAAAAAATTGGTGTAAGCAGGGTGCCGGTGGCTCATGTCTGTCATCCTAACTACTCAAGAGGCTGAGATCTGAGGATCACAGTTCAAAGCCAGCCTGGGCAGGAAAGTCCAAGAGACTCTTTATCTCCAATAAACCACTAGAAAACCAGAAGTGGCGCTGTGGCTCAAGTGGTAGAGGGCTAGCCTTGAGCTGAAGAGCTGAGGGACAGCACCCAGGCCCAGAGTTCAGGCCCCACAACTGACAAAAAAAAAAAAAAAAATCATTGTAGTAAAAAACAAAGGAAACGTATCCAAAGTAAGTAGTTGGATCTTAGTGACTGAATTGTATTGGTCTCTGACTTTTCAAAATGTCATTATGTTTATAAGCTGGGATAAAAACACCAAATAGATCATTATTTCTACATTCCAATGTCACTGGGCACCAAAATGCTGTAAAACTGAAAACAGTAACAACAGCGACAAAATTCCAGAAGAAACGTATGGGCTGTGTTGGGAAATGTCCAGAATTAAGATTTGTCCTTTTCCACTCCTCCAGAAAAATGTTCAGGAGGGGAAAGCAGGAAGAGGTGCAGCAGCCCGCCCCTCCCTCCTTCCCTCCCTCCTTCCCCCCTCCCCTCTGCCAGAGATGCTTCTGGCAGACAAGTACCTTACGAAGTAGCAGATCTTCAGGCAGAGCCCCGGGGAATCCTTTGCCAGGGCCTCTTTGTAGGTGGAACTGTGGTTAAGGTGAAATGGAAGAAGCCAAAGAGCCTCCAGCCTTGCACACCAGAGAAAGGAACCTCTGCCAGGTCTCCAGAGACCCTCCTTCGTGTTTACTGTTTACTCATCCATACACTAGCAAACTCCACGAAGAAACGGTCATTAAGAACACTAATGTCCTACCCACTCAGGCCTTGGGCAGCTTCTCAGGAGGACTTGAGATCTGAGGATGGTGGTTCCCATTCAGCCCAGTCATCCAAGTCTGAGAGACTCTTCTCTCCCATTAACCACCAAAAAAGCTAAATGGAGGCGTGGCTCAAGAGGTAGCACCAGACTTGAGCAAAATAAAGCAAAAGAAGAATGCTCACAACTTGAGTTCAAGTCCCTGTGCTGACAGACAGACAGACAGACAGACAGACACAGACACACACACACACACACACACACACACACACACACACGAGGCGAGGGACAGGTCACACAAAGCCATGAGAGTAACCCCGTAGGGCTGGGCAGCACTACAGGCCCTCAGCTTTCTGAATAGAGCAGAAGACTGCTTGCGTCTCTGCAGACGCGTGGGAAGGGTTTCGTTTACAAGCCAGAGAAGTGACACCAGTCCCCTGGTGACCGTGGGGGGCCCGGCCATCTTTCTTCTGATGACAGACCGGCACAGGCCGGAGGTCTGGCCCCGCAAGGCCTCCCCCACTTCCCCGCCAGGCCTCCACATGGCGGCTACACTGGGGTTCCGGGCCTTTCTGTGGGTCACGAGGCCCTGTGCACTGTAGAGGCCTCAGTGAACTGGAGGAGGGTGGTCTTGCTCCCGTGGGGTTTTCACTCAAGGCTGGTGCTCTACCCTTGAGCCACAGATCCACTTCCTGCTTTTTGGTGGTTACTTGGAGCTAACAGTCTGGCTGGCTTTGAACTGCGATCCTCAGAGCTCAGCCTCCTGAGTAGCTAGGATGAGAGGTGTGACTGGCACCTGGCTAAAACCTAGAGTTGTGTTTGAAAGGGGGGAGGGCGGGCGGGTGTCCAGAGCCCCACAGTGGGGTCCTCCAAGGGGAGGGGCTGGCCAGGGTGAGGGAGCGCGGGGATTGCTGTGCGCAGTGTTGTGGAGAAGGTGGAGAGCGCCAGGGGTGGGCGGGGAGGCGGGCCGGGCTGTGGAGGGGCTTCTCCTCATCCCTGCCGGCCGGCCGGGGAGCCACACTAAGTCTGCGGCTGGCAGAGGCATGAAGCCATGGCCTGTGCACGCTGAGCGCAGGTAATGAAGGACCAGGACGCGCTGGCCGGCGGGTGGAGGCCCAGGGAAGGGAGGCTGGGGACGTGAGGTGTGAGCCAGGGGGTGGTCACTGCTGAAGAGATCCCGGGGCTGAGAGGTGTGCTCTGGGGTGGCCGGCGGGACGGGGAGCCCCCCCTGGGACGTGCGTGGCCCGGGCGGCTGGGTCATTAACGCCCAGCAACCTGAAACCACGGCTCAGCCAGGCAGGGACACGCACGCGCAGGAGCTGGCTGATTCTGAAGCGGCTGAGGATGGAGGTGGGAGGGGTCTAGACCACGGGGGTCAGCAAGGCCGGAGCCCCCTGGGTCAGTGTGGGCAAGGATAGGGGAGACCACTGTGATGCGGGGCGAGCGTGCAGGTCAGGGGGCAGCGAGCGTGAGGCGGGGTGCGGGGTGCGGGGACCGGCAAAGAAAAAAAAGCAAGAACCCCATCTCAATGAGCGTGCTGCGTCTAGTGATGGCTGCTGTGAGTCCAGCTAGGTGGCAGATGGAGGTAGGAGGATCACAGTCCAAAGCCAGCCCTGGGCCGGAAAAGAATGAATAGATAATGAGAGCAAAAGCGGGGCTGGGGGGCTGGGGAGGGGAGGGGAGGGGAGGGGGGGGGAGGAGAGGGGAGGGGAGGGGAGGGGAGGGGAGGGGAGGGAGGGGAGGCCCCAGCCCTGGAGCACCTGGCCTGCCCAGTGAGGGTGAGATGCGGGGTTCCAGCCCAGCTCGGCCAGATAAGCAAACCCGAGCGCTCCACCCCGGGGCCACGGCACAGGAGGATATAGGCCCATGACCTTCCGCAGCAGCTCGGTGGACGACAGCAGGACAGGGTGCATGGCCAGCAGCGCGGGCACCAGCTGCTGGCCGGGGCGCAGGTTCCCGTCGGCATCTGCAATGGAAGCGGCGGCTGGGCGCAGGCGGACATCCGGCCCCAGCTGCATGCTCCACGCACTGTCCCACGCCCAGTGCCTCCCCCAGCGTCCGTTTTGGGGGTTCGTTGGCCACCAGCCTCCGGGGAACGCAGCTGGGGGGGGCGCGGCCTGGCCAGAGAGCCTTGGCTGAGGCCCTGGGCCTCCATGGTCAGCCTCTGGAGGTCCGCAGAAAGTGGCCCCTCGGTGCTCCCCAAAGTCGCCACACACCCCTGCCATTGGCTCTGTGCCAGCACTGGGGCGGCAGCGCCCAGCCCCCCGCCCAGCGCCTCTCCACGGCCTGCGCCCAGCCCCCCCCCCCAGTCTGTGACAGCTCCTGAGGAGCTGGGAGCGCCCGCAGGGGCTGAGGTCCATCTCCCCTCGGCTCTGACCCCCGCCCCGTCCTCTCCCCCACCCCGTCCACCCCCCCCCCCGCCCTGGGGACCCCACACCCCCACCGTCTGTGACCTCAGACCCTCTGCGACACGGCAGCCGCCCCGCAGTCTCTGGTTCAAGTCCCCTCTCCCGACTCTGAGAGTCGCTGCCCCAAACCTGCAGGGTGCAGCCGTGCCCGATTCCAGGATGAGAGGGGGCCACACACACACATCACAAGCTCAGGGTCACACCAGGGCTCAGTGTGTGTGTGTGTGGGGGGGGGGGAATGCTCACCTCGCAGGCATGAGGCCCTGGGTTCGATTCCTCAGCACCACATACAAAGAAAAAGCCGCAAGTGGCGCTGTGGCTCGGGTGGTAGAGTGCTAGCCTTGAGCCAAAGCAGCTGAGGGACAGCAGGCGGGCGATGCCAGCGGGCGATGCCAGCGGGCGGCGGTGCCCACCAAGAAGCTCACGCCCAGGGTGCCCCTCCTCCCCCAGCCTGGCCTCCAGACTGCACCACGGGCCTCCACGAATCTGCCGACCACAAACCCACCTCCCACCCACCAGACAGCTCCACTCCACGGCCAGGCCCCAGATCTGCCCGCTCCTCACCCACACGCGTCTGCTCTGCCAGCCTCTCCCTCCATCCCGCAGCCCACAGACAGCCACGCCGGGCCCGCGGCCTGCGCTGACTGCCACAGTTCCATGGACTCCACTGTCCCCGACTGTAAAACCAACCCCTGCCAGCGACGCACCCGGGGTCCCGCTTCTAGCACGCCATCTCCATGAGCTACCAGCTCACCCACCACAGAGCTACCTCCCCCACACACACCCCTCCACAGCTACCTCCCCAACACACACCCCTTCACATAGCTACTCCCCCCCACACCCCTCCATAGCTACCTCCCCACACACACCTCCACAGCTCACAGCCAGCTCGCTCAGGAGAGCCAGTGAGACTCTCTCTCTCCAATTAACCACCAAAAAGCTGGGAGTGGCACGGTGGCTGGGCTGTAGAAGGCTAGCCTTGGACAAATAGCTCAGGGATTGCACCCGGGCCCCGAGTTCAAGGATTCACGTTGCTGAAGAAATGAGAGCACAGCAGCGTTAAGGAGTCTGCTCCGGGTGACGCAGAGGACAGACAGCCTGGCGCGCAGAGGACAGACAGCCTGGCGTGGAGGGGCCCCGGGGCTCCCTGACCCCACGCCCCTGCAGAAACAAGCGCTGGGACCGAGGGCTCCATACCCGCCTCCTAACAGGCTGAGGGTGGCAGGCCAGCTCCAAGCCCTGCCCCGTCCGCCGCCCCGCGTGTGTGGTTTCTGCAGTGCCTGCAATCCTCACTTGCTGGTCCCCATCTTCCAGAGGGCGCCAGGCCTGAGCCTCCCCTCCTGTCCCGCCCCCCGCGCTGGCTCGTCCCACACGTTCTCTGTGGGAGCGAGGCTGAGTAGGAAGAGCTGGGATGAGGGGAGAGGAAGGCTCCATCTCCACACCTGGCACAAGGCAGCCCCTTCCTCTCCTCGCCCCCCTTCTGCCCTCCCCCACGCGGCCCGGCAGCCGCTAGGCCCGCCCTGCCCTCACCCCTGGGCGGGTTGGTGAGTGGAGAGCGGCCTTCTAAGCGGTGTGTGTGTGTGTGGTGTGTGTGTGTGTGTGTGTGTGGTGTGTAGTGTGTGTGTGGTGTGTGTGTGGTGTGTGTGTGTGGTGTGTGTGTAGTGTGTGTGTGGTGTGTGTGTGTGTGGTGTGTGTGTGTGGTGTGTGTGTGTGTGGTGTGTGTGTGTGTGGTGTGTGTGTGTGTGGTGTGTGTGTGTGTGTGTGGTGTGTGTGTGTGTGTGTGGTGTGTGTGTGTGTGTGGTGTGTGTGGTGTGTGTAGTGTGTGTGTGGTGTGTGTGTGTGGTGTGTGTGGTGTGTGTGTGTGTGTGGTGTGTGTGTGTGTGTGGTGTGTGTGTGTGTGGTGTGTGTGTGGTGTGTGTGTGTGTGTGTGTGTGGTGTGTGTGTGTGTGTGTGTGTGGTGTGTGGTGTGTGTGTGTGGTGTGTGTGTGTGGTGTGTGTGTGTGGTGTGTGTGTGTGGTGTGTGTGTGGTGTGTGTGAGGTGTGTGTGTGGTGTGTGTGTGTGGTGTGTGTGTGTGTGGTGTGTGTGTGGTGTGTGTGGTGTGTGTGTGGTGTGTGTGGTGTGTGTGTGGTGTGTGTGTGTGTGGTGTGTGTGTGTGTGGTGTGTGTGTGTGGTGTGTGTGTGGTGTGTGTGTGTGGTGTGTGTGTAGTGTGTGTGTGTGTGGTGTGTGTGTGTGGTGTGTGTGTGTGGTGTGTGTGTGTGGTGTGTGTGTGTGGTGTGTGTGTGGTGTGTGTGAGGTGTGTGTGTGGTGTGTGTGTGTGGTGTGTGTGTGTGTGGTGTGTGTGTGGTGTGTGTGGTGTGTGTGTGGTGTGTGTGTGTGTGGTGTGTGTGTGTGTGGTGTGTGTGTGTGGTGTGTGTGTGGTGTGTGTGTGTGGTGTGTGTGTAGTGTGTGTGTGTGTGGTGTGTGTGTAGTGTGTGTGTGGTGTGTGTGGTGTGTGTGGTGTGTGTGTGTGTGGTGTGTGTGTGTGGTGTGTGTGGTGTGTGTGTGTGGTGTGTGTGTGTGTGTGGTGTGTGTGTGTGGTGTGTGTGTAGTGTGTGTGTGGTGTGTGTGTGTGGGCTTGAACTCTGGGCTTGGGTGCTGACCCTGAGCACTTTTCTCAGGGCTGGCGCTCTACCACTCGAGCCACGACTCCGCTTCTGGCTTATTGCTGGCTCACTGGAGAGAAGCGTCTCTCTCTTCTGAGGTCTGCCGTCCTCAGATCTCAGCCTCCCGAGGAGCTGCCATGACAAGCGCGGGCTGCCGGCGCTTGGCTGGATTCTGATATGTTGACAGAACTGCTGCGAGTGGATTTAACTGTTTCTACGGATAATTCCACTCGGTTGTCCTCTTCTGGCTTTGCCAAGGCAGGGTGCCGCACGCTAAGTCCTACGTAAGACGTGGGATGTGCGAAGGGGATGCGTAACTGCGGGCAGGATCGTCACTGCCGTCTGCGTCTCCAGACACGGAGGAACAGGCTTTGGTATTTAACAGACTGAGACACGGAGGGGCCCAGCATGCCACCGCCCCATGCGGGGAAGGGCACGTGCCACTTGGAGGCACCGAAGCCGCGGACCTGCGGCTCACACAGCACACGGGCACACAGCGTGGCTGCTGCACGCTCCCGCTGGACGAGCCCGCAGGCCAGTCCTCCATGACTCAGGATGGCCGGAGCCATGCTCTGCCCAATCACAGGGTCTAGACCGTGACTAGAAGAGCATCTCAGGGGCGGGGAAGGCGGCTCAGGGGTAGAGAGCTTGTCTAGCATGCACGAAGCTCTGGGTTCGATGCCTCAGTACCACATTCACAGAAAAAGCTGGAAGAGGTGCTGTGGCTCAGGTGGTAGAGCGCTAGTCTTGAGCAAAAGAAGCTCAGGGACAGTGCCCAGGCCCTGAGTTCAAGCCCCAGGACTGGCAAAAAAAAAAGAAGGGGACACACACACTACAGGGTGAAAGAAGGTAGTGTCAGGTGAGGGGGAGAAGGAAGGCGGGGCCGCCGGGGCGGGGGCGGGGCCGGCGGGGCGGGGGCGGGGCCTGTGGGCTGGGGCGGGGCCGGCGGGGCGGGGGCGGGGCCAGGGCCTGCGGGTGGGGGCGGGGCCGGGGCGGGGCCTGTGGGCTGGGGCGGGGCCGGAGGGGGCGGGGCCTCGCTGCAGGCCAGCTCGCCCATCTTGGCAAGGTGATCTGGCCGCTTCTTTCTCCGCGATCACGGGGATCTTGGGAGAGGAACCGGCCCAGGGTTGCATTCGAGACTCTGCTCCCGGCCACGGAGGCGTGGGATGACGTTGCGTGACGATACGATCCCACGGAGGAGAACACGAGAACCCGGCAGGCCGGCCGGGGAGACCCGCGCACGGGCTGCCCAGCCCCCTCTGGCTTCCGTGGCGCTCTCTGGGTGCGGGAAGGGGGCGTGGGGCACGGTGGGACGCGTGGGTGTCCTGCCGCCAGGGGCCAGAAGGTGGCGACGGGAACAGCCAGGGTCCGAAACCCGGGGGACAGGGGTGGCGCTGCGCGCGGCGGGAGCGCGCGGCGGGAGCGCGCCGGAGCCAGCTCCCCCTGCGCACTTCGCTCCTGGGTTTCCTGGGCGAGCGACGCCGTCCGTGCGTCCCGCCGCGCAGGGACGGCCGCAGTGAGCACGGGCTCTGAGCCAGCAGCCCTCTTTCCTGTCACTTCTGACCTTTTCAGTTCTGCCGACGACTCGGTGCTGGGGTTGGGGGGGGGGACGAGGGAGGACAGGCCTGGACTCTGTCCCACGGGTCTTTTGCTCAAGGCGCTCTACCACTTGGGCCACGGCTCTCCTTTTTGCTTTTTGCTGGCTAACTGGAGATGAGCCTCAGAGGCTTTCCTGCCTGGCTGGCTTTGAACCTCAATGCTTAGATCTCAGCCTCCTGAGCAGCGAGGGTGACAGGTGTGAGCCACCGGCGCCCAGCCACTGTCAACAATGTCAACATGTCCTCCAGGCACCGGTCAGACTCCCTGGGAGCAGCCCTGCGATCTGGCTGTGTAGTCTGAGTTTGGTTTGACTTG